GGTTTACATAAATATTATAAACAGTAAAAAAATTTCAGCAATCTTTTAAATTATAATCCATATCTAAGTACACCCAAATATTAGCGTTAACAATAAAATTCAATAGTGTGGCTGTCTATGGTGGCTGAGGTCTGCCGGAGTGCCCGGGACTTGTTTCCTAGGGTATTTTTGAGCCCCTTGCAATAGACTTATATGTGAAAGAACACCGTGCGGCTTTTGTCAGTTCGATGCCGACATACCACTTCATCTTGAGCCCCTGTGAGGTTATGACTCTTGGGAGATTCCACAAGATAACAAAAATAAAGCGTTAAGAATTAAAAACAAAAGCCGCTCACTAAACGTCGTTTGATAGGAATGACATAATGGGTTTTCATTATCTGTCATGTAACTTTTGTCACTGTCAATTAAAAATAGAACTTCTATTGAATATGACACATAGACAATCTCAATGTAGAAATATGCCAATGTTAGTACAGGAAGCACGAGGGAGGGGTGTGCCTGTTCGTTGAGTTTTAGGTCCGAGGTCATATGAAAATTGTTCGATACAACAAAGTTGTTCATAACGTAACTGCGTCTAGTAATTGTTAGTAAGTGGTAGTCAATTAGCTCTGACTGCCACAAATCATGTAATGTAATAGACGTCGTGTAACATTCTATGTTTCTTGACATAACAGGACCGTGATGGATCAGTGCGAGTGATGCAAACTTCTGAAATTTTCTTTTTCCCATTTTAATGCTTTTAATGTAAAAATTATGCGACATTTTATAAAAATTACTCAAACGACCGACTGACAAATAGTTACAATGATGGATACAATTATACCGTATATTATTCAGTCTTTTTTTATTGTAATCAATTGTCTGAATGGTTTGTGTAAATAGTTTTTGCGATCCATTTTTCCTTTTATCTGTGCCCGGCATACAATATTAAGTCTTCCCGGCATAAAATATGCTCAATTGTTTCCGGTTTTGTATTGTCTACGCCAAAAGCCTTTTGCAGACCATAAATAACAATATTTTAGGGGCTGTCTGTTCATCATTGTAATGACATTGTAAGGACTCAATTAAGACGTTAAGTACCATTGGCCTTGCCCAAGAAATAATCGCCCCCGTACTACATATTAACCATTCGACGACTCGGACGTCGGACGATCTTTATAATGAGTTTCATAATGAGATTGCCAGACAACAATTCTTTTTTTCTCAAATGACTTTCAGATCTATTTGAATAAAAATATGGTTTACATTTCAGTATCATTTTAAAAGTGACGCCCATTTTGCTGCTGACTCTGAGTAAGCTCAAATTAATAAAATATTGTCTTTTCCAAATCCTGCTTAAGTAACGGCCTATTGCGTTTCTAGGTAAGCCGATTTTGGTTATATTTTATATGAAGAGTAATTTTCAGGAGTGGTGTCGATTTGGCTTATTATTGAACTCCCTGAAAACGTGCCAATAGGGAATATGCATGTATTTTTTTTTTAACGATTATACTAGTTATTACATTACCAAAAATAAATATAACACATCCGAAATATAAACTGTAAAGCAAAAAAAAAAAAATTAAAATCACTATCATTTTGATGCAATTTTGAACACGTCCATTTTGGCGCGCTTTTTTTGTGACGTCAGATTACACTTGCAGACGAATTCGATGTCAACAACGGAGTGAAGTTCACAAAGTTTCTGAAAGTTAAAAAAGTGAGTGATAAAAATTAACTTATTACCATAGAAAGCCAATAAAAACTTATTATAAATATTGTGCCGTTCCTTTGTGCCAAATAATATCAAAACTGCACCTGACAAAGTATATTCAGTCATTGTGTTGAGTCTTTCTACACGGGAATTTAATATATTAACATTGAAAACGTATTAGTTATTAACTTAAAATGAAACAAATAATCACCAGAAACCAAATATTACAAATACACACAACTTGTTGACACTCTTGACAGTGTAGGTTGACGTCACGTTTTATTCAACCAATAGCGTTGCGTTTTAGAAATTTGCGAGGGAATCTTAAAAAAAAACCGTTTTTGATGATTAAATTTCACTATTAAATTATAATAAATTTCAAAAATAATTGTATGGGTATCTTTTTTTAGCAATAAAAATAACAAATAAAAATATTTTGTCCATTTTGGTGTCATGTGCATATTCCCTATTCGGCAAACTTGTAAAATGTGTAATTCTTCTGCCTACCCCTCTTGTTAAAGACAAGTGTGTTACATAAAAAAACGTATAAAAGAAAAGTGTATATTATTATTAAATTTTCAACAAAATAGTTAAGCTTTCATGGAAATAAGTTAAATATTTGGTTGTTGTTTCTCTTTAAGACTCTTCAAGAGATCACCGGATAATTCTGGATTATCACGCCTGTCGGAAATTGGCCTGCGAATATGCTATAAGTTAATTATACTAGAAGTTGAATATAAACCCATATTAACACCATCTCTCATTGCGCGATACAGGACGGGTTGTTACTTTACTCGCTAAATAATAATAATAATACTCTACCACAATTACACAACGCCAACTAGTCCCAAACTAAGCAGAGCTTGTACTATGGGTACTAGACAACTGATATAAATACATACATACCTTTTTTTTTGTAAATACATATATATTATACATAGAAACACCCAGACCAAATCAAACATTAGATTTTCATGCACAAATGTTTGACTTGAGTGGGAATCGAAGCGGCTTTTTGAATAGCAGTCCGTTACACAAACCACTACGCCATCCGGTCTTCTAAAATGTCGTTTAAGCTTTAGCTACAAAAATATTTACATTTTGTTATGTCTTAGGCTGCAAAGGAGCAGACGGGTCACCTGATGCACGTTCACAAGGGAGGGTTGTTTTGGCCTCTGGCAACTCCACTCACTCGGTTAAAAGGAACAAAAAATTCATTAACACCGGTTTTCAGTGACCCCGTGGTATCCTCCGGTCGAGCTTGGCCCATATTTGCTGTAGTTAGACATATAGAACTGAGGTCAGCTGTCTACGATTCCCACTGGTAACAGTTACTTCTCATGCTTTTCGTCCATTAGCTAATTATGTCACCGTGTCGAGTGACAAGCGTGCCCCATTTTAAATTGCCTTGGTATATTTTTTTGGCACTCATCACGCGTTCCGCCAAATTAGGATGGATCGTTACTTTTTGTGAATTCATTTTCAAGAGACATCCATCAGCTTTAAACCGATTACAAAATAGAAATTCTCATTTTAGCTCTCTTCTACGCGGACGTTAATTGATTTCTTTACCGCTTGTGACCGAATTTAAATATGGAAATATTCAAATTCGGTCACTACGCCCGACTATCGCCGACGCTACGACTGATCAGTGGTTTGAGGTTGGAAAAAAAACCACTTCGTTATAGAATATAAGCTTCTGAAAATGTATTGAAATTAATAAATGTTTTAACTGAAAAGGAAAACGAAACAAATACCATCATATATTATGTATGATTATATAAGTTGTGTTTCACAAGAAGCACATTGTTCTTCGTCCGACAAGTAGTACAACAGTCCCATCAATATTCTCATTCACACCGCCGGCAATTTCAAAAAACAAAATATCAACGATTTTAATCACCAAATATTTATATTCTCTCAACCTCTTTTCTAAATTTACTTCTGATTAATTTCGTTGCGGGTTCCAAGACAGTTTAATTTTTTCCTGGTACTGCCCGAGTGTCATAACTCCGTATGTTCGTTTGTCACTGCTGGAGTTAAAGTGGTGGTTCTAATAGACCTTTTGGCAAGAATCGACCCAACAACTGTTCGTTAGAACTTTTCTCAGACATATATATACCGAGGATACGCTTAAGGCAGTGGTTGACGTAGATGCTGTGAGAGGACCGACATAAAACATTTTGCACCCAATAGATACATATACTTATTTAACGTTAGGCCCGAATATCTTAAGTTTAACCATTGAGTCCACATCCATGACTACCACACAGGCTGTAGTACGCAGTCAGTCGAGGTTTCGAAAAGATGAAGGAAGAAAGAAGATAGAAAGAATGCGTTCTTTTGTATATAAACAAGTCTGTTACTTTCTAACCTTTAAAAAATAATTTAAGAAAAAAATTGAACAAACACATAGCTTACAAGGAGGGTGAAAATTTGTAACTATATTTTTAGGGTTGTCACAGATAAAATAAATAAAATGTTAATCTTCTTTTTTATTATTTCACATAGAATACATAATTAAACTTACACTTATCTAATAGAATTAAAAAGGTAACTAGTTGATAAAAACGTGCCAATAGTAATTAAAACGAAGACAAATCTAAGAATCGTGGAAAATTTATTCCTGTTGTGGTACACATAAAGTTTAATTTGACAAAAGTAACCATTTGTTCAGAAAGGAAATCACCCTCGCCCAAAACAATGAGATTTTTCTTCAATTACTATTAAACCTAACAAAGTCTTAAATTACGTAAGTGAGACAAAGAATAAGAATAGTACATAGAAAATTTGACACGTGCATGGTATCTTTAAACTATTACATAAACTCTTTACCTAATAGCCCCGCAATGCTAAATTGGTACACAAGGACTGTTCAGTTGTTAGTTTTTAGTTCCATCTGCTCACGCAGCCAACTGGCCTATTTGGAAATCGTAAACATTGAACGTTTATAGTAAACCATGCGTTACAGTGAAAATAAGGCTTGCTGCTGAAAATATAGCTTGTTTTTGTCATGTAAGCATTCAGTCAGCAGCAGTCTACAAATACTAAGCCTTAGTGAGATGAAAAAGACGCAAAAGGCAGGATAAAATATTTGATGTAGACTGTCAAATACTTTTCAAATTATCAATTAGATCGTTTTAGTTGTTCTTACTAATAGTAAATTTGGGAAACAATTATAAGCTTACAGAAACTTCTACAAAATTCAAACTTTGACGCAGAAATAATGACGAACATCGTGTTTTCAATTATAACCTTGCCTTGGCTTCTTGCCAATTATATTCAATTTACATATTTTGCATTTCAGAATTAGCACCACAACGATACAAAGAAATCCGTACAATCATAGTACGAGGCTTAAGACCGCGGACGGTCGAGACGTATTACCGAATTGTGATAAACGACGCCGGGGACGCTACATCATGGCGTCCACCGACACATCGACCACCAGCAGTCAAATATCCGCCGTAGCAGCTGATGAACACAAGCGAACCGTCGACGAAGCATTCTTGAACAAGATGAAAGGCCTCGTCGAAAGGTTAAGGCTAGATAACACAACCTTGAAGAAGTCGCTTGACATCGAGCGGAGCGAGGTCCGAGCGCTTAAGGCCCGCCATGAGAGCATAGTCAGAAACTTAAAGACTGAATACAAAAAGAAAGAAGAATTTCTAGAAAAACAGCTAAGAACTGCAAAACCCGATAAAGTAGACACTACACAGATAACGGAGAACAGATTAGTTGAATTAAAGAAATTAACAATAGAAATTGAGTCTTTAAAAACAGCGAATAAGGGTCTTCAAGAAAAACTCAAGGTATTTATTTTTTACTATTATTGAATTTATGTAGCAACAATTCTATTGCGAATACAAATGTACTAATAATTTCTCCGATCACTAAAAGATAAAACACTTCTTTTACATTGAAAATACTTAATGGTTTTTTCTCTTTACCTTCAGGAGGGAACAAGTTGCGTTGTGCGCTCTCTTTTTCAGTTCGACTCCAATACTGTAAAATTCCACCTCGAGTTAATTGTTTCAGTATATAGTCTAATCTTGGAAGATATGGGCTACCATATCGTAGGCCGTACACAAGAAAACATGGGCAAGGACAGTCAGACATTACATGAAAAATAGGTTTTCCATTTTTCATATTCTTCGGTAGCGACGTGATGTAATCAGCGTCAGTTTTCTTTAACAATATTACATAGTTGAACATTCTGTCTTCAATGATTTTCTTTATTTTATGATCATTGATCAACTCAACGCGGTTTTTAGTCTCTTTGTAAAATTCCGATGAAAAACTTGTGTTAACAATGTAGAAATCTCGGTTGTGAATTCCAAGCGTCAAATTGGTTGCTGCCAATTCTGTCATTGTGTTTAAGTCTGGTTTATAACGGGGATATGTTACAGCCGTAGTTAAAATACCCTGAAAATAATAAGTGTGTTCAATGATAATTTATGTAAATATGTAGGTATAGGTAGCATATTTTTTTTATACTTACATCTATAGCACAATTAATGATGAGAGAGTATACAATTATTAACAAAACCAAACACCTAAACACAGGACCAATGAATGTAAAATCAACCGTTTGTCGGAGAAAACATTTTATCAAATTCACCATAACGTCTCCAACAGTTTGTTTGTCATCAGTATTTAAAATTTTTGATTCCATTTTTCGAAGTGACACTGTTACTATGATAAAGATTATGAAGGTGGCAAGGAATAAAAAGAACACATTTAATGTTATCAGGTGTATGGTTGCATTGAATGTTGATTGAAAATCTGATTTCTTGCTAACGAAACAGAGGGCATCTTGTACCAGGGGATAAGTGGTATCAATATACCCATAAAAACTGGTTTTTAGTATACGAGCTCTTAGTTCAAAATCTGAATATTCGTCCATTAAATCAGCCGTGATACCTGTTGCTGTACCATTTTCTAATAAGTCTCCTGTTGTGCTATTATCCCTTGAAGGTAGTGGTAGGCAAGTGGCATTAAGAGTACTCAAAACAGTTTTTGCAAGATTTGAATCACAGAGCACAGGACCAGTTTCATCAGATAAATAGACATTCCTAAACACGCTCAATCTAAGTGGAAATCCATATAAATTTGTATATTGTCTAGATAGAAAATGGCTCACGTCTGCAACGTGTGTGATATCTCTTACGATTTGCAAGAACGGGTTGTATGCATACATTTTCAATCGATCAGATTTAAGAATCAATACTGAATTCGTAATACTTCTGCTCCACAGCAACTGAAAGTGGCTCTTTAATGTGTAGTAAAAATAATTTTCTGATTCGATAGGTGTATTTATAACAAATATTACGGCACTTCTAGGTTTGAAGACGCCGGTCCTCTTTAAAGCTTCTATCACCGGCTCGCTCATTTCAATGGACAGTTGATCTGAAGTTACGAGGTAGGCTGTCTGGCCGTGTTTATTGTATTTAGGTTTCACAAGTGACTTATTAGAGTACGGGCATCCACTTAACAGCATGACGTTATAGCCGTATCCATAATTCTCTGTGTATTTTAAGATTCTGTTTTCAAAATATGTAAATTCGCAGAATGTGATCGTAAAGTACCATTGACGGAAAGAGTTGTACATTATATCCACTACTTCGTATGCATATTCTGATTTTTTCATTGTCTCAACGTGGTAGTTAAACACTTCTTGACTTAGGGTATTATTTTCCATACAAATAATAGGAGAGATAAAAACAATTGAAATTAAAATGGTTAACATCTTTCAGACGTCTACAGCGTACGGTATTAAAGTGCTAACTGAACAGTTTTTTAGCTCGTTTTGTTGTTATTGGTTCCTAAATCATTAGCGAGTTTGTCATCGTACAATCGTGTTTAATGAAGGCATGTCAATTACTGGCTGAGATAATATTGACGTTTAATATTCTGGTGCTTTTGTGTACAATTTATGTAGGTATAGGTAGACCTGGTGGCTATGACCACATACTCATTAAATAAAGGTAACCTTTTTAGGTCCATGGTAAATTTTTAATTTACTGGTGGTAATAGTTTATTATAAATACAGATAAAGTTTTTCTTATATTAATAATAATTTTTGCTTGGTCGGCACATTGATTGCAGAACCTGCATATATTTACCTTATTGTTGTATTTTAAGTTTTATTATTTACTCGTAAGTTTATTAAGGTTATTGAAGTTTGGATTTATGTCGCTTGCGAAAGATAAGTACGACGCTTGTCTGGTATATAAAGTGTGCAGTTCAAGACTGTTTTGTAAACTTTTAGCGTCAATGTGGCAATTCTATAAGTACTTCAGTGCGTTATTAAAATTGAATAATTAACTATTTACATTTTTTTCAATGTGCAGGTTGCGCAGGCGGCGGAGTGCGCACGTGCGGCGGAGTTGCGCGCGCAATCGGTTAAGCACGCGGCTCTAGAACAAGCCGCGCGGAAAGACACGAGAGCACAGTGCCATAAACTGGTAAGTGTACGCTTGTTCAAGAATATGATGGCTGTGGAACGCTGTCGATTCAATAAAAACTAAAAGCAACATATAATATAAAAAGAATAACCTTACACAACTCACACATGGGTGTCTGATCCTGTACTATGGTAACTGGACTGATAATATATACACTTATAAATACATACATATCTATACTAATATTATAAAGCTGAAGAGTTTGTTTGTTTGTTTGTTTGAACGCGCTAATCTCAGGAACTGCTGGTCCGATTTGAAAAATTCTTTCAGTGTTAGATAGCCCATTTATCGAGGAAGGCTATAGGCTATATATCATCACGCTAAGACCAATAGGAGCGGAGCACCAATGAAGAAAGTTTCAAAAACGGAGAAAATTTATTACTATTGAGAGACGCAGACGAAGTTGCGCGGGTCAGCTAGTTATATATAAATAACACACAGACACAGAACAAATGACTATTATTCGTCCATTTTAGAAATCGAACCCACGACCTCTGGCTTAGGCTCACTAACGACTAGAGTAACAGACCCGTCGAACTTAAACCAATTTTAAATTTCATACTTACGAGTAAATTACTGCAGATACACTTCACTCTTCTTTATTTCTGAAAGGAAGCGTCTTTTTTACTATCAAGGCATTTAAACACGTCAATATAGTGTGTTTAAATAAATATACACGAAAGATATTATGGTGGTATGGGATATTATGATAGTATGGTTTAAAGAGCTAACGAGAGATATCTTGTAAAAATAAACAAGGTTTTTTAATATTAGTACATTTGACACACGGTTTAAGCACGGTTTAAGCGGTCGCCACGCCGCTTACTGCTACGCTGAGTGTTGTGGGTTCGATCCACACATGGGGCAACACTTTGTGTGATCCACAAAGTGTTTTTCTGAGTCTGGGTGTTCTTTGTGTCCGTTTAATGTATGTTTTGTAATGTCCCCCGCGACACAGGAAATATTCCTAATGCGGGAGTTGTCTTTTTTGAGACAAAAAAAATATATCGGCATCTTGCCTTTACAGTTTTTACTTGTCTATACATCTAAGTACGTTGTTGTTTAAAGTAAAACCAAGAAATTATAATAAGTAGGCATATCATAATGTTACGATCAAAGACCGAAAACGCTCACTGAACGAACAAGAAGCTCATAACGCGTTGTGGCAATTGCGGCAACCTGTTCCATTTTTTGGAGGCGGTTAAAAACATGACCTTGAATTATTTGCGAGATACTTAAAATGGTTCTCATAGAAATTAAGATTATATTGGATGGCTATTAAGTCTAGCACTGTAGGTGTATGTTTATAACAATTCTCGTTCATTTTAATACTATTTTATCATATTATTATAATACATATGTAGATACGTACGCCTACTTGTAGATCTTGCTCATTCAATGTTATAAACTACTAGTTTTTGGCCGCGGCTCCATCCGCGTGTATTTTGGTTGTCGCGGTAAAATGTAGCATTTATCCTTCCTCAAAAATCAAACTATCTCCATACCAAATTCCATCTAAATCGGTTCAGAAGTTATTGATTCGATATACAAACTTCCAACCCCCATTTCACCCCCTTAAAAGACGATGTCTGGAATAAAAACTATCTTCCGTCCGTATCTGTGGTCCGTGTGGTGACGGATTAAGAATACAGAGAGTCACCACCCCTATCCATCCCGTTGGTGTCGTAAGAGCCGACTAAGGGAGTAAACTACTCAGAGCAACAGCGTCAACCCGTCTAGCCAGCGTGGTATAGTAAGCCAAAACCTCCTTTCTAAGGAGAGTCTTATGTCCAGCAGTGGACTGTTAAAAGCCATTGATGTGTCCGTATCTAATGTCCTTTCCCGGTACTCGAACTATCTCTCACACTTTGCGTGCAGCAGCAGGCGTGCGGCATGACGCCCCGTGAAGTCACCCTGAGGGCCACGGCCGGAGTAACCAGAGATCCGGCGGCTTTGTTTCAAAGTGGCCTTGTTCTTTCATAGGCCTCGGGGGAAGCCAAGTTAGGGTGGATCCCTAACTTGGCTTGGCGTCATAGTAGGAGGCAATTGCATTGGCATCGAGCCCTCGATGAGGTATCTGGGGCTCGTATTCGAAGGCTGTTTGGACTTGGACATCACTTCCGAGGACTGGTCACCAAGTTGGTTGGAGCAGCTCGTGCACTGGCACGACTGATGCTCAACTTGAGGGGACCCGATAACTCCTGCAGGAGACTCTACACGGGGGGCGGAGGCCCTGAGAACCAGCAACGTCACACTACTATAGCGAGTGCTGGCCATCAGGGTCATAAGAAGGTACCGCACGATCTCTTTTGAGGCGGTGAGTCTCCTGGCCGTACCTCCACCGTGGGACCTGGAGGCGAAAGTCCTTGCGGCTCTGTATCAGTAGCGCAAGGACGCGCGGGAGTTGGGTCAGAGTCCTGAGTATCGAGAAATCGAGGTCTAGAAATCCCATCTCTACCAGGTCCTTGTGAAAGAGTCGAAGGAATGACTTGGGCAACAAGCGACGGGCACGCCGTTATTGTGGCACCGGCTATCGGAGTGGGAGTTCTTTCGCTTGGTACCATGATTGCGGAAATGGTACGAAGTGAGAGACCACCGTCTCTTTCTGCGAGCAAGTTATGGTTGCGAAGAAGACGGCGGAGCGGGACCGGGAAATGTTTAGAACTCTCCTGGCCCGCCCGACTCAGGCGCCGAAAGTCGCTAAACGACCTCAGTCCTCCAAACAAGAAATATACCCTTCCAAAATTTACAAAATCGGTTCACTAATTACGGTATTCTGTGGTAATAAACATAAAAAATATAGACAAAAGAATATAGCCGAATCGAGAACGTTATCCTTTTTTGGAGTAGGTTAAAAACAACTATTTTGCTTTATTTATTGAAATTGATATTGATAGATACAATTCAATACAATTCGAAAAAAAAAATAAGTTAGTAGACAAAACTGTGCGTCATTCAATCATGAAATATTAATACCAACGACTCCTATTGTAACCGCTTAACATTTATAAGTATGTACTGCTTGCTATAGTAATTTCTAAAGGCGTCGGACTACATAAAAATGTACAGCGCCTCCTGAAAATGTGCTTGCAATGTTATATAGTATCATGGTACAGGCGCTTTATCTTGGGCTATTAGTAAAATGCAATCGTGTCCTTTTTTGTTTTATACTATTTATTTAATAATGAGCGTTAATATTGTTCTCGTATCTATATCAAAATAAGACGTTAGAAAAAAGCTTTTTGTGTAAAAGAATTGATTAATAGGTTCTCATTTGTTAACACTATTTTTAATTGGACTAAATATTTGTTACGGTTTCTAACACCCACCGGTGTTCAAAATCGTAACAAATTTTTAGCTAAAATAATACAAAAACATAGATAAAGACAATAAAATTGGAGAGATGACTATGCTCATATGAATTATTTCGCCGAGTCGGCTGTAAAATAACTTAAAATAGCGTAAACTTAACATTAAATATTTTTCACTAATTTTATGATCGTCAATTTGACAATAAAAACAAATGATTGCCGTTATGATTTCATGAGATCTTCAGACAAATTTCCAGATAGTTCTTAATATACCCAGAATCTTAGCAACCGTTTCAATGTTTAACTAAAGAAAAAGAAAGATGTGTTGTTTATTGTACTTATTTTATTCCTTATTGTTTGCAGCTGGAGGAAATTAAATCGAAAGAAAGGGTGATTATACAGCTGAGGCGGCAAGTAGCGCGGACGGCGATTAACCCACAAAATGATCAGGTAGGTTATACTTTGTCTCTTACTTTGAATATGATAGGATAGAATAGATAGTTATTATTTTTGTGCGATATCTACGGGGAATGACCTTAACATTTGATAGCTGATTGCATAATACGTTTAATTTTTCGCCTGAAAACTCCAATGATTTTTGAATCAGAATAATGGTCTGAATACAATAATTCAGTCGTCGTCACACCATCCCTTACATGGTTTATGTACATATTAATTTCTAATTTTAATATCTGTTAATTACTTGAAACGATAACAAAACAAAAACGATGAATTAATATTTGGTACGTTAACTGTGCGTATCCGTGTGGTGACGGATTAAGAATACAGAGTGTCACCACCAATATTCATCCCGTGGGTGTTGTAAGAGCCGACTAAGGGAGCAAACCACGAAGGACAGCAACACTGCAAAATCAAATCTTGAAGCAAACCAACCCGTCTGGCCAGTTGGGTATAGTAAGCTAAATCCTCCCTCCTAATTAGAGGCCTATTTCCAATAGTGGACTAGTAAAGGCTGTTGATTATGATGCTGATTGATGTTAAACACAGTTCACTACAAATTAGTCTAAATACAAATCTATAATAAGTGGTAGGTATGCAAGATATGTATAACAGGCAGACTACTGGTTTTCGTCACTTTGGATATGTGGGATCAACATTTAGTCTTCGGGGAAGCAACTTAAACCTGCCCATAAAGACGGTTACAAAATAAACATACGATTATTATTCATGTCTTGTGAAGATTTTACGATTCCCACTAACAATGCAGAGGCGCTTCTCAGAACTGTACTGAACTTGAAATTTAATCACAAGGCATATTATTATGTACTGTAAGATTGTTTGATAACATATACATTCATAAATGGGTTGTTCCGTCTTCATCCCACTACTTCGTTTTCTTAACTCATCCCATTTTGTTTAATTTGCTATTCTTAACTCATCCGGCAACACAATTTTCTTATAAAAATGCGTTTCCTGAGTACAGTTTGCAAACTTTAAACGACTGTGAAAAAAGGGAGGTTATTAACATCTTATTGCATTCAGTGAGCAACTAAAGCGCATTAAATTGAAAATATTTTTTCATATATGTATATGGGCCTTTAGTATTAAATAAAAATAATAACTGAACACATCCCTCACACTGCAGTCTAGTCCTAGACTAGGTAAAGTCCTTAGTTATATTTCCGAATGGTGAATGCAATGTACTGAATGCCACGTATCCGGTGTTGCCACGTTGTGCTCTTTATATGTGTAACAAGGCACATCTGAAACCACACATTTTGGCACAGGGCTGCCACTTATATCTTAGTTATATTTTATGTGATTTGTGATGTGTACTTTGCCTTGAAAAGTGTTTTGATAGCTGTGAAAATTCGCGTGTGAAAGCTGTCGTGTATTTCAGGAATGAAAATATGTTTTCTTTCTTTTCTTCTTTCTTTTATGGAATATGGTGGCAAACGAGCAGGTGGGTCACCTGATCTTAAGTGACTAGTGCCGCCGATAAACACCTGAGAGCCACAAGTAAATTGTCCCCCTTTCAGCCGTCCCCTCCGCTTAACACTCGGTGTAAAGCAACGAAAGAACTACAAAACACCGGTTTTCTGTGAAGTTTTGGCATCACTCCGGTCGAGCCTGGCCCATGTATGCCGGAGAATAGCTCTCCTAACGTGAAATTGTTTTTTTTGGGTTTTGTTTTTTAGGTTCGAACATTACAATTGCAAAACTGATATCGTAACCATGATACTACAACTGTTTGGACTATAGACAAATATTCATACGTGTTTTATTTTTTCCCATGATTAGCCCCGGGGATTTGTTCTCACGCGAGACAAACGAATTTGTGCGCGGAGTGCCGCGGGCTACATTTAGATCTTAACAGAATCTTTTTAGGTCTAGTTTTTTTTCCCTTGCAATTTATTTAATTATTGAAATTGTTTTGCGTTGTTTTATAATGTTGAAAAATAGCTTCTATTGATGTAAATAATTAAGTTTTAAATATATCTCATAAACGTCAATGCGTTAACCACGTGATGTATTATTATGAACTGTATTCTTTATTTACTTATAATTTTTCAATCCTTAGGGGTGGTTTGAATGGGACCAAATAGGACGTTTGCCCTGCCAAATAAAACTACAATTTTCCAAATCGGCTCATCAATGACAAAACCTTGAGGTAACAAATATAAAAAAATGCAACCGAATTCAGAATCACCTCTTTTTTTTTTGGAGTTGGCTAATAAAATTATATGTAATAAAACGTAAATAAATGACAAAGAGGTGATAACCTCTAAAACCAAATAAATTCATTTACTACTCTATCATACCAACGGATTAAAAAAAAAATTAAGACATTTAAATTTGTTTTAATCTACTCTGAGTCAATTTGTCTGATCCAATTTACTTATTGCAAATTGCAATAACCAATTTGCTTATAGTTTTTAGGGTTCTGTACCTCAAAAGTAAAAGAACGGAACCCTCATACGATCACTTTGTGGTCCGTCTGTCTGTCTGTCAAGATCGTTTATCTCGGAAACGCGTGGAGAAAAACTTTATCGAGTTGAAATTAAAACCATGTGCTCTGGTCTACATTCCCTTGAAGTTGTAAAATAACCAAACTCCTAAGTTAACGCAAAAAGAAGATGCGGCCGTTTATGGCGCAAAAAACGCGTATTTCGACACTTTTAAGGTAATCAAAATTTATAGGGTACTTTCCGTTGACCTATAACTCTTGAATTTGGTAAGTAACATCGTCTCAGGCTACAGTTACAGGGAAAAATCTGAAAATTATACATTTGCAAATTAATCATAAAAAAATACAGGCTTTATTTAAAGTACATTCTCTTATAAATCCCAAGAATATAAGGAATTTTAGGTTTTGGAAACTGAATTTCTGGCAAAGTCCGAAAAATCTGCGAGATTCAGTTCCTGAACTATTTGTAATATGACAAATGTGTACGGAACCTTCGGTGGGCGAGTCCGACTCGTACTTGTCCGGAGTTTTTTTTAATGAAGTGAACAGATATGTCATTAACCATTGCAAATCACCTAATTTTACCTCTTTTTATGAAGAGAATTATAGTTAAATGTGATTTCCACGTACACATTTCTTTTGTTTTAACAAGCTTTTATTAACTTTCCATATTTTCTTTAAAAGAGCCTGGGGAGCTTTTTAGAATATTTTATAATATAATGACTTTATCTTTACTAATATCGGTCAATATAATATTTTGTCAACAATTGACAACCGTGACCCTACGCTTTTTTTTTCGATAAAATGTTTTTTTGCCTAATCACTCCATTTTTTTATAGGCATAGAAAATTAATCAATCAATCAATCAATCAGTTTATTTTCATTGCGAACATGGGTTTACAATTAGGTGTTACAGTTATAATATTTTTTTCTGCCACATTCTACCTTTAGGCATGCAATAAGATTACATTAATAACGAGTTGGGCTTATTTAATACATCATACGAGGTCAGAATTCTATTTTATGTCCATATCAATTAAAATAACAATTACAATTATATTATTAAAAAAATGAAAAATGTCATAATCATAATAAACAATGTATCACATTTATTAAAAAAGTGTATTAATAGAGGGTATGGTGTAGTTATTAAAAACATGCATTCTATTATATTTTCTCCGTTAAAAACTCAGTTACAGAATAGTATGCTTTCATTTCTAAAAATTCTTTTAACTTGCTCTTGAATGCACTTATGCTCAAGTTTTTCCATTGTTGCGGTAAATGGTTATAAATTACTGGAGCCATACAGAAAACACTTCTACGCATAAGCACAGTTTTTGCTTGGAGTAGGCGCAGTCTACTATTATCACGCCTGTTCCGTGTAACCGTATCCTCAAGCCGCGGAAATAAGCCTGGATTTGTTTTAACAAACATTGACATTTCCAAAATATAAATGCTTGGCAACGTCAATACTTTATACCTCTGAAAGTAAGTTTTACAGCTATCACTTGTTTTTAGTTTAAACATTGACCGTATGCATCTCTTTTGACACTTAAAAGCAATTAATGTATCTGTAGAGTTACCCCAGAAAATGATGCCGTAGCGTAAATTTGAGGCAACTAAACCGTAGTATGCGGTCATCACTGTTTCTGTATTGACGATTGACGTTAACGTATGCAAAGCGTATGCAGAACTACATAATTTTTTGCTAAGCGTCTCTATATGTGATTTCCAATCTAGTTTTTTATCTATCGTTAACCCGAGGAACTTCGAAGTCGTAACATTTTCTATACTATGATTGTCAATGTTTATATTTTGGTATATATAACTGATTGGAGCGATCCGTTGACTGAAATGTATAATCTTAGTTTTATTTAAATTGATTTTTAAATTGTTAATGTCAAGCCAGTTTATTATGGATGTCAAGGAATTCGTAATGTCATATTTATATTGAGTTATATCATTATTACAAGATATAGTAATTGTGCTATCATCTGCGAAAAGCGTTACAGTATTTTTTGTACATTTTGGAAGGTCATTAATATATAATATAAAAAGCAAAGGTCCCATTACGCTCCCCTGAGGGACACCGTACAAAACTTTCCGCTCATCTGAAAGATATAGCTCCTCTCGTTTAGTAGTGGGGTTTATTATTGCTATTTCTGTACTAAGTACTAAGTACTATTTCTGTACTAGTACTAATCCCTACTTTTTAGTTCGGCTGGTTACAAAAGCGTGTTTTTATGGCTTTTGAAACACTTATTTATTTTAGCTTTCTTTAAGCTGTGTCCGATGTTGTCTATGCGAAACCTTAGGGGACTGTGGAAAAGTGACCAGTTAGTTTACATTATTATTTTAAACGTGGGCTGCCAGCATTAAAATATTTCATCTTAAAATAATACTAAACACGGCTGAGCGAGGTACTTCGACCCCAAAAGCGTGAGAGAGTGCCGCAAGGCGTTCATGAGTGCGCTACTTAGGGAGTGGCCCTCTTATCGCTGTAACTCATGCCTACAGGAAT